TAACCATAACACCCAGGTCTCGTTCGCACGATGTTCTGCGCAATGTGATTCCGTGGAAGTTGTAGACTACCTCTGAGTCAACACGCCTCAAGTGCAGGTGAGCACACTTTGCTGTGTTGACTGCAAGAGCGTAGATGTCCGCCCACTGAGCCAGGTTGTTTAAATCGGTTTGAAGAGAACTTCGATCATTTGGATCCTTGATTGTATGCCAGATCTTGATGTCATTCGCATGCATGAGGGATGGGCTGCATAGTTGACCGGGCAGGTCGTTCACATAAATCACAAGGAATAATGGACCAAGAAATGAGCCTTGGGGGACCCCACTGGGAGCGGAATACCACGCAGAGAGCGATTTGCCAACACGGACGCAGAATTTCCGATCGACGAGGAAGTCTCGCAACCAATTCCGCATGACCACACGTACACCTTGGTTGGACAGCTTTCGCAGAAGGCGATCGTGCGGCACCTTGTCGAAGGCCTTGCTGAAGTCCACGAAGATGATGTCCGTCTCGTGTCCTTTGGCCTTGTCCTCGGTCCAGCATTCACGGGCAAGTAGCAGGTTTGAGAGGCATGAGCGACCCGGCCGGAAACCGTGTTGTTGGTGGCACAGGTGACCGTGGCACACCAAATGCTGTCGAAGCCTTACAGCCAACGGTCGCTCCATTACTTTGCCTACAACACTATCAAGGCTGACTGGTTGGTAGTTTCCTAGGTCACTCCTATTCCCACCTTCGGGTAGTGGACCAATGACAGCATCCTTTCCCTGCCGCGGCAAACACCCTTGAGTGAATGACAAATTGAACAGATTGCACAGTGGCGCTGCTAGTTCATCTGTCAGCTCCTTCAGAATCAGCGGACGAACACCATCAGGTCCAGGTGACTGGTGAACCTGTAGTCGACGCAGCTCCAGGGCCACCTCTCCGATGGTAAATGGGGCCCAGTTCAGCGCAGTGTCAGTGTCCAGTGGATGTGCCANATGTGCCAGTGTGCTGGAGTCTGTGGTGTACACTAAGGCATAATGTGATGCCAGCATCTCCGCTTTGTCCTCATCTTTTTCGGCTAGTGCCCTGTCTTTGGCGAGAGTCGGGAGACCAGACGCTGTTCTGATTCTTCGCCTGAGGTATTTGTATTTGTATTTGTATAGACTTTTGCGAGAACAGAATGTTCGCATTTCAGTCAAAAATTTACACATCTCATCAATGGAAGGAGAGATACAAGTAAAATATTTAGCCTTTAAAGTTACTGAGAAATTCGGAGGAGGCGCGCTCTCGGTTTACAAGGATTCTGGCAAGATAGGGAACTGGGGAATTTATGTAGAGACTAATGAGAGAGGGTAATAATCGATAAGAAGAACGTGTCGACGTATGAGAGCAGCATTTAGATATATCACCATGTAAAGGATGGTTGGGGTCAGCGAGGATTTTCTGGGCAAATGTTTCATATGCGGACAAGTGAAGTTCACACAGTTTTTTAGATAGCTCATCTACGGGTATAAAAGACACACAACTGATGATCGACAAACCGCGACGAAGAATTTTGAGGTCTTTCTTTAGTAGACCAGCAAAAACCACCGGAGAACAATAAAGAAGAACGGGGAAAACACATTGATAAACAAACAGTGAAGTGATTTTTTGCTTGGCATTGAACTGTCTAAGTCTTCGAAGTTGAAAAGATAATTTGCGAAGTTTCTTTACGGAGTTGTAAATATGGGATGTCCGCTTTAAGTTAGTGTCGATTGTAACTCCCAGATACTTCACAGATTCAACTCTAGTTAGGGGAACTGTATTTATGACAGACGAATCACAAGGATAAACAGATCGAGAAAGGGAGAAAATGCATTCGAAGCACTTGGATAAATTAAGAGACAGTCCAGAACGAACGGAAAATTCATGAATACGCAATAAATTATTCGAGAAATGTAAAAGGTCCTCAGGCACAGAAATGGCTTGGCAAAGGGCTAC